AAATGGAAAAAAAAAGAACCATCATTAAAGCAAAGTAACTTTGTGTGTGTGTGTGTATATGTATATTTATGTATATATATATTTGAGTCAGAGTCTCACTCCATCGCCCAGGCTGGAGTGCAGTGGCACACTCATGAACACCCCAGCCTCGACCTGCTGGGCTCCGGCAATCCTTCCGACTCAGCCTTCCAAGTAGCAGGAACTGCAGGCATGTGCCACCATGCCCGGCTAGTTTTTGATGTATCGTAGAGATGAGGTCTAGCCAAGTTGCCCAGGCTGGTCTCGAATCCACGGGCTCCCAAGGTGCTGGAATTACAGGCTGAGCCACCAAGCCTGGCAGTATTTTTTAATAAAGCCAAAATGATAATAAAATTGTGATTAAAAATAAAATAAAGGATTTGCTCTCTTTATTTTGAGAACCTGGTAGAGTTCCTAGTGGAAAAACTCACAAAAATGTGGGGGCTCTCCTAAGACTAGAGTTTTTTAACTGGAGGCCACATTGAGCCTCCAGCAGTTTAAGTTTTCCTACCCTGGTACATGGCCCCTTAGAGGTTTCTGCTCTTGATTCACGCAAGTAGCGAATCAGGTGGTGATTCTCTGTATCTGCCTATCACTCCAATTTCTGAGGCAGCAGTTTGCCTATGACTTCAATTCTCTGCTGGGTCTAAAAAGAGTTGTTGGTTTCCAGTTTGTTAAGCTCTTTGCTTGTTGTTAGGATGGGAATGATGACTTCCATACTCCTTACATGCCAGACCAGAAACGAAGTCTGAGTATCCTTTTACTTTCTTTATAATGTTCTTTGAAGCACAGAAGTTTTAAATTTTGACCTACTTTTTCTTTTGTTGTTTGTTAAGTGTCTTACCTAAGAAACCATTGTCTAATTCAAGGTCACAAACATTTACTCTTATGTTTTCTTCTAAGGGTTTTATAACTTTGTCTCTTTAGGTCTTCGATCTATTTTCAGTTAACTTTTATATATAGTTTGAGGTAGGAGCCCAGCTCGATTCTTTTGCATGTGGATCTCTGTTGTCCCAGCACCATTTGATGAAAAGACTATTCTTTCTCCATTTAATTGTATTGGTACCTTTGTCGAAAAATGAAATTGACCATAGATTTATGGGTTTATTTCTGGACTTTCAATTCTATTCCATTGATATAGATATCTGTCCTTCTGCCAGTACCACATCTTGATTATTGTGGCTATAAGGTAAGTTTTAGTAAGTTTTGAAATTGGAAGTGTGAGTCCTTCAACACTGTTCTTGTTCAGGAATAATGTATTGGCTGATCTGGGTCCCTTGCATTCCCATACAAATTTTAGAATCAGATTGTCAGTTGTTGCAGAAAAAAAAAGGCAGCTAGAATTTTGATACAGAGTGCATTAAATCAGTAGATCAGTTTGGGGACTATTACCATCTTAATAATATTACGTCTTCTAGTTCATGTGTGGAAGATATCTTTTCATTTAGTTAGGTCTTATAATATTTTTACAACAATACTCATTGTCCAAGTCTTGTATTTCTCGTTTAATTTATTAATTATTTTATTTTCAATGATATTGTAGGTTGTTTTCTTAAGTTTGTTTCCAGATTGTTCATTGGTAGTGTATAGAAATACAACCAACTTCATTTATTTTTTTATGTTTTTGAGTTGGAGTCTCTCTGTAACCCAGGCTGGAGTGCAGTGGCATGATCACGGCTACTGCAGCCTCTACCAGCTGGGCTCAGGCGATCCTTCTGTGTCAGCCTTCCCAAGTAGCTGGACTACAGGTGCATGCCACCATGTCTGGCTAATTTTTTGATTTATTGTAGAGATGAGGTCTTACCAAGTTGCCCAGGCTGGTCTCGAACCCCTGGGCTCACGCAGTCATCTTGTCTTGGCCTCCCAAAATGCTAGGATTACAGGCACCCAGCCCATTTTGTTTATTGACCATGTGTCCTGCAACTTTGCTGAACTTGTTTGTTAGCTCTAATAGTATTTGGGGGTGTTTGTAACAGATTTCTTACAATTTTATATTTATAAGAGTATGTCATTTTCAGGACAGAAGTTTTATATTGTTTCCAGCCTGGATCCATCTTATTTCTTTTTATTGTCTAATTACCCTGGCTAGGATCTCCAGGTCGATGTTGAGTAGAAAGGCAAGAGCAGACATACTTTCCTTGTACATGATCTTGGCGGGGAAAGCTGTAGTCTTTCATCATCAAGTGTGGCATCACGGGGGTTTTACTGGTGCCCTTTGCCAGGCATCCGGTTATTACTACTTCCGTGTTTCAGGTGAGAAAATTGGGGCTCAGAGAGGCCAGGTTGTCCTGCCAAATAGCTAGTAACTGGGAAACTTGGGATTTGACCCTGTTCTGTGGTTTCAAAAGATTGGTCCTTTTCCCTGTCTGCCTAGAGGTAGCCAGCAAAGAGAATGCCAGGAAGAGAAGGGAAAGTGTGTGTGATCAGTGGCTAACGAAGCAAAGTTTCCCCCTACCGCAAGTGACTCTGGAAACCGTACATCCCAGTAACACACCCGTCAGTCACTGTATGGCCGGCCCAACTACCTGCTTCCTTGTCAGCAGCATTTGCTGGCCCAGCAGCCTTCAGGACTGTTTGAGGCCGGTCCCGTCCACATGTCTGCCTCTTCCACAGAGGGCTGGGAGTCCCTGGATGAGAGGAAAAGTCTTTTACAAGGAAAGCCGTGTATTGGGCACAAACAAACGATCTTTTATTTCTTCCAGTTGTTTATCTGAACTTTCTTTTTCTTAAGAGATTTCCACAGTCGATCTTTATAGTGACGAGAAGTGTTACTCCCTCACAAATTTCTCATCTTAAAGAAAGTATTCTCGGAGATACGTTCAGATTTCATTTTGGAATTTAGACTTGTTCTTTAGACCCTCCTTGTAGTCTGAGCTTCTCCTTTGTTAGGAGAAGACAAACAGGAAATGGAGGCAAAAAGTTTGGGTGAATTCCTCAGAATCAAATAGTAAAGTACAGGTCTAGCCCAAAGGGAGATCTGGTCATCTGCTTTCTACACTATGTTTTTTTCCAGTCACACAATATTGCTTCACAAAACGCTAGGGTGTTTTTTGCAGAGACCACTTCTTCCTGTACTTTGTCCTTAGGTGTGGGAGTCTGAACGCTTAGCTGTGAGCATACAGAGTTTGCTAAGTGTATGGGCTTGGAGTCCGAGACCTGGGTTTGAAGCTAAAATGCACTGTTCTGTTTATTGCCTGGGGGCCACAGTCAAGTAAGCGAACCTCTGTGAGTGCTGGTTTCTTCATCTATAAAATAAATATAAGAATATTTACCTCCTGGGTCTTCATGAAAACTAACTGAGAAACCGTGTAAAACTCTTTGTGTATTTTTTGACTCATAGCAAATGCACCATACGTGACAATGATTATTCTTTTAACTCTCTTCCACGTCTCCAAAGAGGACAGCTTAGTTCTGCGTGCACTGGCTGCCTCACTGCGGCTTGTCTTCTCGGTGCGCATTTCAGCCCGCAGACTCTTGATTCTGAGCACCAAGAAGACTCACAGATGTTGGAAGCCGGATCAAACCCGTTTTCAGTGCCCCGTGGTGTGACTCAGGCAAAAACCGTGACTCGGCTTTCAATGCCCGGTCGTGTGCCGCTTTTCCCACCGGCCTAATAAGGGTCTCAGGCTTCCATGGATGTAGGGTGACTTTGTAAAGAAATACCAGTTCTCGTTCTAGGTGAGGCCTGTGGATCGTTAAGAAGGACTGCAGGCAAACCAACAGCAATGCAATGGCAGAAATTGCAGGCCCGAGCCCTAGAAGACTGAGTTGAGAGCGAACCCGAACATTTGCTTCTCTTCCGATTTCCTGCAGGCACAACTGACCTGGGCATGCTCCATGCCGAAAACCTCAGGGACTCTGGGCTGCTCCTCTGGAAGCCTGTGCATGGGCCCATGGGAAAGGGAAGGGCAATATCTTCATCTGTTTGTGCTGCTGGAACAGAACACCAGAGACTGGGCCACTTTTTAAAGTACAGAGATTTGCCTTCTCGCAGTTCTGGAGCTGGGGAGCCCAAGCGCAAGGCACCAGCATCAGGCGAGGGCCTTCTGGCTGTGTCCTCAGGGCGGAAGGCGGGAAGGATGCACTCACTCCCACCGGCCCTTTTTGTAGCAGCATCAGTTCGTTGGCGGGACTGGAGCCTCATGACCCAGACACCCACCGTGAGGCTCCACCTCGCCACGCTGTTGCATGGGGGATGAAGTTTCCATCACAGGAGTCGGGGGGCACGTTCAGACCACGCAGCCAGGGACAGCGGGACCCTGGCTCCCGCCTCAGAGCACCGTGGGCCTCAGCGGGCTCTCCTCCCTTGCCTGAACTTCAGTCAGCCTCACGTACTCTCGCCCTGGAAGGCAGCAAGGGCTCAGGCCAGGAGTCAGCCTAGAGGTCCACTGCTAGCGTGGGCTGGAGCACATGGGAGGACAGGCCCCCATCGGCTTAAAATCTAGTTCAGAGCAGGCCTATGCCACATGGTGCTCAGAGGCCAGATGTGCCACAGACACATCTGAGTCTGAAGCCGGATCAAACCCGTTTTCAGTGCCCCATGGTGTGACTCAGGCAAGTAACTGCACCTCTCTGAGTCTCCCCCGAAGAGAAGGCAACAGTCCAATGCTGATGGGAGGCCTGCGGCGTGTGGCAGGGGGTGATCAGCAGATGCTACCTCCTCTTAGTCACGTGGCTCCTCTGGGCCTCAGTTTCCACATCTTCAAAGTGGGGGCCGTAACCCTGGGCCTACAAGCCCTACTGGGCGTGACACGGAAAACGCCGAGACCGGTCTACGAGATGTCCCAGGAGGCACGCTGTGGCAGAACACAAATGCAAAGTGCTGCGGAAGAGGAGGGAGAGTTTCACAGTATGAGGTGGCCAGAAGGAATGTCACTGAAGTAGGGCTCGACGGGTCCTGGCCATGGGAGCGATTAAATGGGCCGAGATCCAGGCACTGCCTATGGGACAAGGAGCGACACCAGGGGCTGAGAAGCAGGAACATGCATGCCTGCCCTGAATGTGGCTTCCAGGAGTTGCTCGCTTTACTGGGAACCCAGGTAGGCCGTTTGGGGTTCTATGCTGACATCCCAGCTGACTAAGATGAGACTAAAACATGGTAGCATCAATCCTAAAAAGGCCAGGAAAGTTTTGAGGGGGTAAAAATGTACTGTGAAGCCAGGATTCTTACTCCTAGGTACTTATTAATGCAAAAACCTATACGCGAGTGCTTATTGATGTTGTCCGTAATTGCCAAAAACTGGAAACCGAAATGGCCCGAGTTAATCAGAATGATGAGCAAACTATAGTGCATTCCTCTAATGGACTATGACGCAGCAGTGAAAAGGGGCAAAATAAGCCTGGGCAACATGGTGAGACTTCATCTCTGAAAAGAAAGAAAGAGAAAAAGTAGCTGGTTGTGGTGATGTGTGCCTGCAAGTCCAAGCTACTCAAGGGACTGAGTCTGGAGGGTGACTTGAGTCCAGGATGAGGCTATAGTGAGCTGTGATCACACCACTACACTCCAGCCTAGGCAATAGAGCAAGACCCGGTCTCAAAAAAGAAAAAAGAAAAAGGAACAAAACGCGGATAAGTGAAACAATGTGGTAAGTCCCAATGCACTCTGCTAAGTCCAGGAAGCCTAATAAGTTTAGAATATGAATGTTTTAAAGTGATAGAACTATTTTATATTTTGATGGTGGAGATGATTATACAACTGTATATGTTTATCAAAACTCAAAACTGGACACCAAAAATCGTCATTTGAAGTTATACTTCAGTAGACAAAGAACATGGGAATTGATGTCAGGGTGGACAAGCTCACATTTTAATGAGCTTATCTTGGTATCCCCCGCAGCTCCTAGTTGAGTGATTTCCACATAGCAGGAACTCAACAACCATAGATCTCAAGAAAGTGGTTGTAACCTCATCAAATTCTGGGGTGATGAAATACATCAATATGATATTTTCAAACCTAACTTTGATCGCTATCAGATCATATAAGGGAAGAGCAAAGAGTGTTGGTCTAGGATTTGGGAAAACTAGGATATCTTGGCCGTCCTCCTGCCATATGACTTTGGGCAAGCCACTTGAATAATCTCTAATAATTAGTCACTTACCTGCCTGGTCAAAGGGTTGTTGAGAGCGTCACATGAAAAGAATATATGTTAAAATAATGTATGTCATAAACTGTAAAGTACTGCACACAAACCAGGTTTTGGCATTGTCATTGATCATGCACTTTTAAATAAGGGATGTAAGTATCAGGATTTAAATGACATATTAAAAAAAAGAATCCCCAAATGAAATTCCATCCTATACCTTTTCAAGTTAAACAAAGAGTTGACACTTGCGAAACAAAATGAAAAATAAGGCTTGAATGAATGATTTTAGAAGCCATGATCATATGAAACTCACAGATTACTTAACACATATAAATAAACCTCTGTGCCCATTTGTTACGAGGGAATTTCACCGTTTGACAAAAACACGTTGCCCATGAAGTACTTGTGTCCCGTGTGCACACTCTGTGTGAGGCATCAGGGTCCCTCGAAGAGCAGACGGGGCTGGTCAGTGGAGCTCCTCAGGATGAGGCCAGGGCAGCGTGCCTGTGGCCGGGGCCGCACCCTCAAGATGGCAGAAGGGACACCCAAGCCCTGGCAAAGTTTGCACCACACCTGCTGTGGCCTGAATGTCTGGGTCCCCTCCACCCTCCCTTGTTAAAGTCCTTTACCCCCAAGGTGAAAGTGTCTGGGGGAGGCCTTGGGAGGTGACTAGGTCATGAGGGTGACACCCTCCTGAGTGCGATTAGTGCCCTTCTGAGAAAGGCCCCAGAAAGCGTGTCTGTCTCTTCCCCACGTGGAGACACAGCGAGAAGAGAGCTGTCTGCAGCCTGGACAGAGGCCTCACCAGAGCCCGACCATGCTGACATTCATCCTCCACACCCGGGAGAAATAGGTGTCTGCTATTTATAAGTCACCTCGTCTATATGACAGCAGCCCAAACAGACCAAGAAAAGCTATGTTCTGTGGACAGTGAGGTCACAAATTAGTTTACTGGGAAGTAATTTGTCTGAAGTTGAAGTCAAGCTTTACCATTGCAGAAGTTTCCATTTGGCAAAGTGTTTTATTTCTCTTGCTAGTGGTGACGGGATTTCTTTCTTTTGCGGACTCCAACAGAAGTTTGCCCTTAAATGTATTTGAGAGTCACTCGGTGCCACCACTGCATTGGCTTGGAGGAATCCAGCCCCGGCCCTCAAGGCATTCTAGACTCAGCTGGAGAACTGTCATTAAACAAGAAAGCCCAGAAAAGGGTTAAAGGGCTCCAGACCCACGGCAGACAAGAGGACAACAGGCTGGGCTCCCCAGGCACCCTGCCAACGTCAACAGGGAGGAATAGGCTGGGAAGGCCAACTTAATGAGACTCACACCGAGCTGAATCTTGGAATCCACAAGACTGAGGACCACACCCCGAGCCACCAAGATCAGCTTCATGTCATGTTGTAGAGAGAAAAAAAGGACCTGCTGACTCTGGAAACTGAAAAGTCATAGAGGGGTGGTAGAGATCCTCTAGATACAGCAGGGTCATCCGCTGTCTCCTGTGAGGGTGTCAGGGCTGTCCTGGTCCGGTGGTCTCTGTACGTAGTGGGATAGATGGCTGCCTGCATGCCCGAGCTTTCGGGGACCTTCCAGATGGCAGCCCCCCAACGAGAGTGTGTCTGTGCTGTTTGCCCTAGCAGACGTTCCATGGAAGGCTCTGACCCCTCTGGGTCAGGAGCTACGGGCAGCCAGCCCCATCCAAACCCCTGGGACAGGCCAGGATGGCTGTGGAACGCTGGAGGAGGGCTTTCCAAAGAAAGGGCGAGTGAGCAGACTGGCTTCTGCTGCAGCTTGCTGTGGTGAGCCTCACCTTCCTTTCAGAATTCACCACACTGTCTGGGTCCTAGTTATCTGTCCCAACACCAATATCTAAGAAGTGGTGATAGCTAAGAGGCACACCCATCTGCTAGGCCTACCTGAAATTTTTTTCACTTGTGTGCAGAGCAGGTGTAGTGAAAGGTCTAAAAAACTTGGAAGCAGATTTGGATTCAAATGTTAAAACTTTGCCCCTAACTTAACTCTTTAGGGGGCATCTCTTTTGCTCATTTCCTCACCCATGAAACCAGGACAGTGTGCCCACATCGTAGGGCAGTTGTGAGGATGAAATGGATTAAGGTGCCTAGGGTAGTGCCTGATGTCCAACAGACTATTAAAATGTAAACCAGTATTTCATCAGGCTGTTATAGTGGAAATGATGGTATTTTTCATAGAAAGTTGGAGCTTCTTGGCAGCTAAAGCCCTGCTTCCAAGGCACGGCTGGCTGCTGAATCCCACTGGAGAATGCCCACATTCCTTTGTAGGAAGCAATGCTTATTTTCTGCCACAACTGGCCAGGACTGTTGTGGCTGAGTGCCAGCCTGACTTAAATAGCACCACCTGGTTCACAGGAAAGAGGATTTCAGATCTCTGCATTCTGTCTCTGGCATAACTTTATTTGGTTGTCTTTCTGCTCTGTCTTTTTAATGATGGATCTGGGAAAAGTAACAAGATCATATCATTAATTATTTTTCTTTTCTGCACCATTAATTCTTAAATTGAAACCAGTCAGCGACATGGCACTGGAGCCCAGGAAGCCGGAGTAGGTGAGAGTTTCACACAAACCACCAGGGAAGCGTGGAAGTCATTCCTGCCCCGCCAGGACCAACAGCCCTGGGCTTCAGAATTCAGAGCCTTCCTTCCTGGAACGTCTCATACAGTAGGTCCCCTTGCTGAGATCCAGTTCAGTCATCTCTGTTCTTTTCCGGGAATATACACACTTCACTAAGCTTTGCTTACCTAACTACCCTGTATTTCCATGCTTCATCCTACAGATTGATGCACAGTCACCTGGATTGGAGTTCTGGGAGGTGTTCAAGACTGTCTCTTGGTTTTACTTTCACAGATGGTTATTTATCATGTGGACTTTTAGAGGGCAATCTTATTTCTCTCTCTCTCTTTCTCATTGTTTCCCATGTACTGCCCACAAGCTGGACTTCTTGAAGGAAAACATCTGTGCAAACTCTCCTGGTTTAAGGTCAGACAAGGACAGATGGTGCCCTCCCATAGGAATCTCACCTCTGTTTTTCTTATTCACTGATGGAGAAAGGAACAAGCAAATGGACAGTGTTTTCCCATTCTGGAAAAATATTTTTTCAGTCATTTTTTACTTATATTTAAGATTTCTTATAACATTCCACCCTTTATTTCCTCCCCATTGTATTCCCCCAACTATGAGAATAATTTATTTTTATTAACAATTCTTAGAATAATACATGCAATATTAATTACAGAAAATGTAGACAGAGACCCAAGTAGCAATTATATATATATACAGAACTGTATAGCATATATGTATGTTATATGTATACGGCAGTCACATATTAACACTTTTACCTGTGTAGTCCTGTAAGGACGTCTTTGTTCCTGAGGACCAATCAGCTTCTGCAAACTCTAAAAAGGCTCTAATGTATATCTGTGTATTAGGGCAAAAAAAAATTCTTCCAATCAGAATGATTTATTCTACTTCTGGGCTTATGTGTTTCCCACTAATAATAATTAGCTACCAGACAGTCATAAGAAATAGCGCACTGCTCAACTGCAGAGTTTCAGACCTATCCTTCATAGCCGTGCACTGAGACTCAAATAGCCTTTGGCTGAATGTCATGAGCGCTTGAGGCAAATGTCAAGAGTCGATATCGTTGTATCTCAAATGATGAAAGCCAGCCCTAGAAGTCACCAGAGATGGCACCCCAAGCACAGAAGGGCAGGGGAGTTCCGGGGAGGCCTGTTTCCGCGTGTGGGTACAGCTTCCTTCCCCCTCTCTCTCGTGTTCCCGTACTCTCTTCTTCCCTTTGCTGCAGTCTGGCCTTAATTCACCTTCAGAGAGGACGAGCTGCATTTTAAAGCATGATTTAACTCTGCGTTTGACCGTTTCCTGAGCAGAATGGACTTTTACCTATGTGGTCCTTCAGTGACATCTTTGTCCCCGAGGCCCGGTCAGGTTCTGCAGACTCTCAAGAGCCCCTGGAGCAGCCAGGCCGCGGGGCTGCTCTCCGTCCTCCGCTGCTCACTGCACTGCCACCCGCTTCCGCCTGCAGAAACGGAGCCCATTCTCCAATCCCTGCCCGAGCGCCCTTCCCCGGGAGGCCTGCTGCCACCCCGCGCCCTCCTTGCCCAGACCTGGATGTGGCCTCTCCTTCCCACAAATCCCACTCAGCGCCGGTATCAGTTTGGTGACACTGAGAGTCATGTGGTTTGGATGCGTGTCCCGGTAATCAAAGTCCGAAAGTCGAATAACGCTGGTCGTCTTTGCTTCACTCACGTGATACTGACAATTATTCATATGCAATGTGATTCCACAGCGGTGAAAAGGTAGAAACTGCTAACCACAAATAAACTATTTTTAGCCAGGCTTGATGGCGCCTGCCTGTAGTCCCCGCTGCTCCAGAGGCCGAGGCGGGAGGATTGCTTGAGCCTATGAGTTCAAGCCTGCAGTGCGCTTGCCTGTGAATAGCTGCCACACTCCAGCCTGGGAGACACAGCCAGAGCCCCCTCTTAAAAAACATTGCTTAATAACAGCACTTGGTTTGTAGACTTTTTTTTAAAGTTTACATGTATATATATTACCTTTGGATGCACAAGTACAAACGATGAATCTTTAAATAGTGTGCTTGGTTTTTGGAGTAGGTTGTCAAGTTGCTAACGCCGCCTTTGGGTTGCCCTCCTTGAAACCAGGACACGATTCTTGGGTTCCATGCCCAGCCCCACCCCGAGCGGGTGCATCCTTTGTGCAGTGAGGCACTGAGTTCTGAGGCTGTTTGCAAACGCCTCCCCACCCCGCATGTGGAGGCGGTTCAGAAGCACTGAGCAGCCCACCGCCCTGGTGCCTGCCCTGGGAAATGCCACGCACTCCCCCCTGCAGACTTCCCCAGTCTTCAGGGGTGTGCCCAGGAAAAGCCACCTACGCGGCCTCACTGTCATGATGAAGACGCGGGCTGGAGCGGCGACGTGGTCATTTTGCAGCAGCGTGGACAGCCGGCAGGGCCTCTCAGCTTGGTGTCTTCGCACGCGAATGCTGAATGACAGCGGTGTGACCCGAAAGCCGAGCGAACTGCTCCTGAAATGCGAAGACAGATGGCAGATTTCTTCAGCACACCTCCGGGAGTGCTTTCGCAGGGCCGGTATACTTCTAAAACGTGGGAGACTTTTCTGCGGCCGCGGCTGGAGGTGTGTAAGTTTTTGTGTAGACATGTGTTTTCATTTCTCTTAGATATACATCTAGAAGTAGAACTGCTGCATCAAGTAACTGTATTTAACCTTTTGAGGAACGGCCAGACTCTGTTTTCCAGAGTGTCTCCTCCAATTTACATCACCACCAGCAGTACGAGAGCGTTCTGACTCCGTTACATCCTTGTCAACACTTGTTACTGCCTGTTCTTTTGATTATGGCCATCCTGCTGGGTGTGAGGTGCTAGCTCATGTGTCCGGTTTACATTTCCTGATGAGCAATGTTGTTGAATATCTTCCCGTGTGCTTATTAGTCATTTGTAAGGGCTTCTTCGGAGAAATGTCCACTCAAATCTTTTGCCCAGTTTTTTTAGCTATTGATTCGTAAGTGCTTTTTATATATTCTAGCTACAAGTCCCCTATCAGATATGTGCTTTGCAAGTATTTTCTCCACGCTAGGGGCTGTCTCTACCTTTTTGAAGTGTCCTTTGAAGCCCAAGAGTTTTAAATGTTGTTGAAGTCCAATTATCTCTTTCTTTTTCTGTAACTTACCCTTTTGGTGCTGTGCCTTACTTAATACCTTATGCCAATTACGCCAAAGTCTTGGAGAGTTTGTCTCTGAGAGTTTTTTTGGTTTTAGTTCTTACATTTGGATTTTGATCCATTTTGAGGTAATTTTTGTGTATGATGTGAGAAAAGGGTATTGATTCACTCATTGCTAGTTAGCTGCACCAGCATCCTTTGTTTAAAAGACAGTTCTTTCCCCATTGAATGGTCTTAGCCCTTTTGCTGAAACTCAATTGGCCACAGATGTCTGGCTTTATTTCTGGACTCTCAGATTCCCGTGACTATACTATGCCAGTACTGTACTGTCTTGGTTAAGTAGTGTAGCTGTGTAGTAAGTTTGTTTTGTTTTGTTTGAGTTGGAGTCTCACTCTGTCACCCAGGCTGGAGCGCAGTGGCACGCTCATGGCCACCGCAGCCTCCACCTGCTGGGCCGGGATGATCCTTCCGCCTCAGCCTTCCGAGTAGCTGGAACCACAGGCATGTGCCACTCTGCCTGGCTAACTTTTTGATTTGTTGTAGAGAGGAGGTCTCGCCATTTTGCTCAGGCTGGTCTCAAACTCCTGAGCTCGGTCAATCCGCTTGCCTCCGTCTCAGAGTGCTGGGATTACAGGCATGACCCACCTTGCCTGGCTACTGAGATTTGAAATAGGAAACTCTGAGTCTCCCAACTGTTTTCTTCTTTTTCAGGATTGTTTAGGCTATTCTGAGTCCCTCGCATTTTCATGTGGATTTTAGGGTTAGCTTACTATTATTTTTTAAACTTGTCATTTTTTATTTTAAAGATGTGGGCTACAATTCGGGGTGAGGTATACAAATGTCATAACTGCAGCTACTCTTGCTGATGAGGTGTGACCCCCCTTCCTCAGGCAGGTTGCTGCTACTGCCAACCCTTTTCTTACAGTATTAGATAACTGTCCAAGGTCTGCTTATGAGTGAGAACATGTGACAATCAGTTCTGTTTCTGTGAAAGATCACTCAGTATTATAGACTGTAAGTACATCCACATTGCTGTGAAGTTCATGATTTTGTTCTTTATGGCTGCGTAATAGTCCAGCGTGTATATGTACCTCATTTTTTTTTATCCAGTCCTCTCTTGATGGGCAGCATGGTTGGTTCCATGTTCTTGCTACTGTGAACAATGCTGCAATAAACATACATATGCAGGTATCTTTTTTATAGAGTGATTTGAGTTTTCCTGGGTATATTCCCAGTAGGGGGGTTGTGGGGTCATATGGAAGGTCGATTTTTAGATCTTTTAGGAATCGCCATACTGTTTTCCACAGAGGCTGTACTAGTGTACACTCCCACCAACAGTGAAGTGTTCTTTTTTCACCGCATCCTCTCCAGCATCTGTGGTTTTTTGAGTTATTGATGATGGCCATCCTGACTAGGTGGCATCTCAGTGTGGTTTTAATTTACATTTCTTTGATGATTAGGCTGAGCATTTTTTCATGTATCTGTTGGCTGCTCATATGACTTCTTTTGAGAAGTGTCTATTCATATCTTTTGTCCACTTTGTAATGGTGCTGTTTGCCTTTTTCTTTTCGGCACGTTTGAGTTCCTTGTAGAGCCTAGATGTTAGGCTTTTGTCAGACATACAGTTGACAAATAGTTTTTCCCAGTCTGTGGGCTGTCTCCCTGCTCTCTTGACGGTTTCTTTGGCTTTGCAGAAGCTTGTCAGTCTGATGAGGCCCCACTTGTCTATCTTCTCGCTTATGGCCTGGGCACTCGTGGTTTTCATCAGGAATTGATTGCCGGTTCCAGTTTCCATAAGGGTGTCTCCTGCATTTTCTAAGTTTCTTGTAGTTTGAAGTTTTACGTACCAGCAGCATTCTCCTCAGTTTTGGAAAAGGACACACAGAAATTCTTATGGAAACATAAACGACCAGGAATCACCAAAACAATCCTCAGCAGAAAAAAAAAAAGCAAGAGGTATCACACTCTCAGACCTTAAGCTTTATTATACTGCTACAATAATCAAAACAGCCTGATAGTGGTACAAGAACAGGCATAGAGACCAATGGAACAGGATAGAGGTTCCAGAAGCAAAACCTCAATCTTTCAACCCACTCATCTTTGACGGTCTCCACCGCCAAAGACTTGGGGAGAGGAGAACCTATTCACGCAGAAGATTAAAACAAGACCCCTACCTATCACCGTGCACAAAAATCAACTCTAAATGGATCAAAGACCTAAAGGATTAACTTACTGATTTCTACAAAGCCAGCGGGAATTCTGACAGGAATTGTGCTGAATCTGTAGGTTGCTTTGGGGAGGATTTCTGTCTTGACAATATTAAGTCTGTGAACGTGGGATGTCTTGCCCTTGACTCAGGACTTCTGAAATTTCTTTCAACAATGTTTTAGAGCTTTCAGCATATAAGTTGTGTTGAATTTATTCCTAAATGTTTTTCTATTTGACGCTATTGTAAACGGAATTGTTTTCTTAATTTGATTTTGGGTTGTTCGCGGCTAGGGCACCAAATGTAATTTACCTTTTAGTGTTATTTTATACCCTGCAAGCCTGCTGAGCCTGTCTGCCAGTCCTGACAGTTGCTGGTGGGTTCTGAGGATTTTCTGTGTGAGAGATCATGCCACCCGCGAACGGCCAGCGCTGTGTTCTCCCCGTCCCGGGGCCTTTTATTTCGTTTTCCCGCGGGCGCCGCCCGGCGAGGCTCGCTCGCTGCAGGGCCGGCCGGCCCGCTC